GCCGTTAGTCAGTGTGCAGTGTGTATAGTGTGTGTGCAGTGTGTGTATAGTGTGCGTGCAGTGTGTGTATAGTGTGCATGCAGTGTGTATATGGTGTGTGCAGTGTGTGTGCAGTGTGTGTAGTGTGTGTGTAGTGTGTGTATAGTGTGTGTTTGTGTGTGCAGTGTGTGCCGTGTGTGTATAGTGTGTGTGTGTGTGTATAGTGTGTGTGCAGTGTATGTATAGTGTGTATGCAGTGTGTGTATAGTGTGTGTATAGTCTGTATGGAGTGTGTATAGTGTGTGCAGTGTGTTCAGTGTGTATAGTGTGTGTATAGTGTGCGTGCAGTGTGTTTAGTGTGTGTGTAGTGTGTGTATAGTGTGTGTGCAGTGTGTGTATAGTGTGTGTGTGTGTGCAGTGTGTGCCATGTGTGTATAGTGTGTGTGTGTACAGTGTGTATAGTGTGTGTGCAGTGTGTGTAGTGTGTGTAGTGTATGTAGTGTATGTGTGTGCAGTGTGTGTATAGTGTGTGTGTAGTGTGTGTATAGTGTGTGTGCAGTGTATGTATAGTGTGTCCAGTGTGTGTATAGTGTGTGCAGTGTGTATAGTGTGTGTGCAGTGTGTATAGTGTGTGTGTGTGCAGTGTGTGTAGTGTGTGTATAGTGTTTGTGCAGTGTGTGTACAGTGTGTGTGTGTAGTGTGTGTGTGTGTGCATAGTGTGTGTAGTGTGTGTAGTGTATGTATAGTGTGTGTGTGCAGTATGTGTATAGTGTGCGTGCAGTGTGTGTATAGTGTGTGTGCAGTGTATGTATAGTGTATATGCAGTGTGTGGATAGTGTGTGTATAGTGTGTATGGAGTGTGTATAGTGTGTGCAGTGTGTTCAGTGTGTATAGTGTGTGTATAGTGTGCGTGCAGTGTGTATAGTGTGTGTGTAGTGTGTGTATAGTGTGTGTGCAATGTGTGTGTGTGTGCAGTGTGTGCCATGTGTGTATAGTGTGTGTGTGTGTGTGTACAGTGTGTATAGTGTGTGTGTGTAGTGTGTGTAGTATGTGTAGTGTATGTATAGTATGTGTGTGTGCAGTGTGTGTATAGTGTGTGTGTAGTGTGTGTATAGTGTGTGTGCAGTGTATGTATAGTGTGTATGCAGTGTGTGTATAGTGTGTGTATAGTGTGTGTGCAGTGTGTGT